CCCGGCCACCTGGCCCTGCAAGGACTGGTCTCGGCTGCGGAGCCCGGCGGGCCGCCTGCCCCAGCCCCACACCACGTCTCACGCCTGCTCCTCAGTGTCACCCACTGCCTTGTGTCTTTGCACGCAGGAATCGCTCAGCAGCAGCTTGAAAACTTGCTACAAGTATCTGAATCAGACCAGCCGCAGTTTCGCAGCCGTCATCCAGGCGCTGGATGGGGACATTCGGTGAGTGGCAGGGCCCCTCCTGGGCGAGGGAAATGGCGCGGTGGGTGGAGTGCCCGCCGCCCCTGTGTTTACTTTCCTGGCCCTTTCCAGGCTCCTGGCCATTACTAGTGTCCCTGCGGGCCAGCTCTTTCACAGGAGCAGAGCCGCTGGTGATGTTTACTAACTTTTTTTAGTCCTGGCAGCTGAACCTGACTCTGTAGGTCAGGCGTTCTCCCTGGCTTCCCTTGGGCTGCTTTGTGTTTCTCACATATCGGTTAATTCCTGGAAGCTGGCCTTGCTCCTGGCGTGAATTTTCATGTCTTTCTCCATGCCCAGAGAGGTCCTTGTGCTTTTTGACTTTTTTTTTCTACTTGTAAATTTTTAGTTCGGTCTAAACATTTGTCTGTGGATCCACCCAATTTTTCTTCAGTAGTCAGAGGTAACCCTGGGCGCAGTAGTGGCGTCCACCCACTTGGCTTTTAATTTTGTGTTTTATAAACTACATGGTTCCATGATCTCATTAAGAAAGGAAAACTGATGTAAATTTTGTCAGGTGTGTGAGGCTTGGCTCTTCTTCATAGCCCTGTAGAGTTAGGGTGTAGGCAGCTGCAGAAAGTGGCCCGACACAGATTAGATATTGTCTAAAAATAAAACCTTTGGTTGCTTGTTCTCATGGAAGCGGCTTCTTCTTTGTGCAGCCATGCCGTGTGCGTGTTTTACCTGATCCTCCGAGCCCTGGACACGCTGGAAGACGACATGACCATCAGTGTGGAGAAGAAGGTCCCCCTGCTGCGTGGCTTCCACACGTTCCTTTACGAGCCGGACTGGCGGTACATGGAGAGCAAGGAGAAGCACCGCCAAGTGCTGGAGGACTTCCCCACGGTAGCCACTCGCGGTCCCCCTGTGTGCCCTGGGGCGCAGATGGCAGCGTAGCGGTCAGCTCCCTGGCACAGCTGTGGAGGTGGTCAGCAGTCAGACTGGAGCTGCTGTCTGGGTTGGGATCCCAGCTGACTTGTGCCTAGTCTGTGCCTCGGCTTCTTCACCTGCCGCACAGGGTTGTGAGCTTTAGAAGAGTGTAGTAGGCTCTTAGGGCATCAGTAGCTACTCTCCATCTGTCCGGTGTGTTGTTTGGAAATCTGTTCCCATGGGAAGATGCATTCACACCGCAGTGTCATGAAAAGTGGACTCAGACTGGCTCACACAAGCTGTGGACTGGATCGTGCAGCCTGCTGCCCTGCGCCTGGTAGCTTGGACTTGGCACTCAGCACTGGTAGGAAGTGTCCTTTAGCGGCTGGGTAAGGATTAGGAAGCAGGGTGATCCTCTGCCACTTAGAGCCATATGATCCTGGCACTGTCCTTGTTCTGTGCTTTACCATCCTTGTTTGCAGAGTTAGAGGTACGAGGATTGAATAATCCCATACATATTAAGTACTTAGGATATCGCCCGGTACATTCTAGGTATTCTGCGTGTATTGGCTTGCAGGTTCATTCTGTTGGAGTAAAGTAGACTATAATTAAAGCCTTCAGCTTTCAAAGGTTCCTCAGGTCTATGCCATACATGTGCTAAGTCCTACCTTTCTAGAATTATGTGTTTTATCACACAAGCGACCCTTCAGTATCTTACAAGTAAAGGATTGACTTAGTAAAGTCCTGTGTTCCCTAATTGCCCAAAGAAACCCTTGAGTTTTAGTACAAGAATAGTCCTTTTGCAGCTTTTTTGCTGTTGAAACAAATGTAATCCATATAACTGAATGGGGAGGGAGTTGGACAGATAGGAGAGTCCAGGTGTTACAAAAGAAGGTTGAGAGAGGGGTAGTGGCTATTTCAGATCGCTGAGATCACATCTTTACTGCCGGAGCCCCAATATAGTACAGTATAATGTGAATCAAAGAAGAGTGGCTGGAATTAAGGGAGGACTGACAGCTCTGACCTGGGGAGGTCTAACCAGTGTGCTGGTGCCCAGGACACTGATAGCCAGAGTCCAGGCTTCCCTGGGCTTCCTGTGGCTGGACTGGAAATTGTGGCCATTCTCTGCTGGGCCTCTGAACTGGGCTGATGCAGATCGAGTGCTGCAAATAGTCGCACCCATAAGTTAACCTGCCTCCCCAGAGCGAGGACCTGAGTTCAATCCCTGGAACCAAAAAAATTTTAAAAAGAAAAAAAAATTTAAATACACCAAAAAAGCCTCTTCCAACTACTTTTGATTGAGTAGATCTATAACAGTTAAATAATACCTGACCATGAGATAAGTGTCGTGGGTATCATAAAAACCCGTGAATACTACAAAAAAAGCGAGGTTATGAAAATACAAATGCTAAAATAATTTGGGGGCAGATAGCTAGCAATTTTTTTTTTTGAGATAAGGTCTCACTGTGTAGTTTAGACTGGCTTTGAACTCACTGTGTAGCCCAGATTGGTCTTGAATTCATGGCAGTCGTCCTGCCTCAGCCTCCTGAGTGCTGGGATTACAGGCATGTGCTACCATGTGCAGCTACTAGTAAATTGTCAGACACCACTTCAATGTGTTTATACAACCCGAGTGTCTTCCTTCATACATACCATTGCAATGGAAAATGCTTTGCCCTGGAAAGTTTCACATTTGAACTTAAGTTGCTCTTTTCTGAAAGTAGAGAAATTATAAAAGGGAGAAGCTTGATATAGGAAGATATATTAGCTTTTTGTTGCTGTGACCAAATTCCTGTGCAAAACAACTGAAAAGAGGCAAGATTTATTTTGGCTCATGGTTTCAAAGATTCTGGTTCTTGGTCAGAGTCCCAGGGGTGGAGGGAGCAACTACCCTGGCTGGTGGCTGCTGGCTGTGCGTGGAGAAGGAAGTGACTGGGCCAGGCTGGAGTCACGGGAGCTGCTGCTGTCCCGTGGGTCTCTGGGAAAACAACCCTGCATTGTCACTTTTTCCTGGGTATCTTTTATTTCATGTTTAGAACGGCACAATTATGTAACAAGTGCCAGGAATCTGTTGGAAGGAGTGGGCCCAGGTGGGGGTGCGTTTATGTCGGGCCCGAGCGCCCCCTCCCCATCATCCCATCCTCTGTGAATAGAACCGGTCTGGCTGAGGAGGAGCCGTGAGGTGAGCAGAGTCCTAGGGGGACCCGCCCCAGTTCAGATGACCCTGGGTAGCGCAGCCAGTTTGTCCCAGTCTGCCAGAGGAATCTGTTTTGGCTTTCATGGGGAGCAGCTGTCCTGGAAAAAAGAGATTGGCTTTGTGGTTTGGGGTTTAACACTTGAGGGTCATCAGAGAAATTGGCGTGATCTCAGGCTTCAGAATCGCCCTCATGATCCTCACCGGGCTGGTGCCCTGCAGACCCGAGAGTTTAGGTGTTTCCTGAAGAAGTTTTTCTAATGTTTCTGTAAATACAGACCAAGAAAATCTCACATGTGTGATCTTCAGCAGCACCCATGCACTGTTTGCAGTATTTTAAGGCACCCCTCCCTGTTAACCTTTTATAAGTTTGATGGTGGTTTTATATTGGCTGTGATAACCTTGAAATACTTCTTTGAATTAAGATATTTATGCAGTTGTGTTACATTTTTTAAAGCCATCCACACTACTTGTTTATATCAGAGTTCAGACTTGTAAAGAAGAAAAATTGGGCAACAGGTCTTAAATCTCTTAAGGAAAATAGAGTGTGGCCTTGGAACAAAGGAGAAGGGTAGCTTTACGGTGTAAATTGGGGAAGTAATAAGGGGAAGCAGTTGGCTGATGTAGCGGGGCACGAGTTTCTGTCTGTACCATGCAAGGACATCACTTTCTGCTTTCTGTTTTCTGTGGTCTCCATTTCAGATCTCCCTGGAATTCCGAAGTCTGGCTGAGAAATACCGAACTGTGATCGCTGACATTTGCCAGAAAATGGGGAATGGGATGGCAGAGTTTCTGGACAAGCACGTGACCTCCAAGCAGGAGTGGGACCAGGTCAGTGTCCCCACGAGGTGCGGCTCAGGTCCTCTAGGGACGTGCGGAGCTGGGACACTGTCCTCCAGGTCTGGGCTGTCTGGTTTTAGAACTCATCCGATCAGCTCGAACATCTCCCACACATGGAATTAGGGGCTTGAAATTTTAAAGCTCTGTCAGTGATATTGTCCGTACGCTAGAGAGCTTACTGTTAGACAGAGTTAAAATACATTTACCAGTCTCGGTGGTAGAGACATTGAGCTTACAACGTTGTGCCTGACTTGCTATGAAATGTTCTGTAAGTGACCAAATTATCGTGTGTAACATAGAAGCAGTAGTTTTCAAATTTTAAAAATTATGTTTTTTGTTTTCTGTGACCGAGTGTGTTTGCCTGTACCTGCTTTAGTGTCTGACTCATTTCGTTCCCACCCGTTGTTTCTGAGACATACCTGTCAGTTAAGCGGTGCTTGTGTCTGTTTGCTTAGTGACGGAGAACAGCTCACAAGAACCCAGAGGTATTACCTGGCTTGTGGGCAGGTCGTGCTGAGGGGTGCACGCCTCCTGCCTACCTTTCTTTCTCTTCATCTCTGCATCTGCGTGGAAGAAAGGCGCTGGGGGACGGAGAGGAGCTCAGTGGTGGAGCGTGGAACTGGCATGCATGAGGCCCTGGGTTCAAACACAGCACGATAGTAAGATATAAATAGATGAAAGAATGAATGAGGGGAAGAAAAGGGCAAGAAAGAGGAAGGAAGGAGACCCTTGGAGATGCTTCTGAGTTTCTTACTTGTCTTTCTCCATTTGTGATTTCTGTTGTCCTAGTCTGTGCTGTGTTGGGTAACGGAGTACCAGAGACTGGGGAATTTACAATGAGAAGAAATGTATTTCCCACAGTTCTGGAGGCTGGGAAGGCTGCAGGCAAGTGTCACTGCTGGTACGACACTGGTGTGGGTGGGAGAGCTAGAGTTGAACTCCGAGACCTGCGTAGACCTCACTGCTGACGTGTGCTGGGGCTGGTTACCAGCAGGGCCTTTCGGGGACACACTCGGGCCACAGCAGGTACAGATAGGGTTCCCCACCCGAGATGCAGAGCTGTGTCGTCCTCAAGGGATAGGGTGCCTGGAAAGGGCTGTGAGAACAGGTGATGTAGCGGACAGAGTTTGTTCCTCGCTGTGGCTGTGTAAGAAACGTAGCCACAAGGGATTTAGCTCAGTGCTGCTGCTGCCTGCCTCACAAGCGCAAGGTCCCGAGTTCGATCCCCAGTACTAACCCCGCCCAAATGACATAGCCATGCAGGCAGTGCAGGGCTGGGGTCGAGTGCTCAGGTAGACAGAGGGACCATGGGGACCAAACCGACGTAAACATCCAGGGTCGGAGTGGAGTGGAGCCCTTCCCGTAGGAGCAGTGTTTGTGAGCCATTGTCAGCACCTTAGAGTCCGCGTGTCTGGCACCTCTGACAGGGCTGGGTTAGCCCTCCGAAGAGATTCTGCTGCACATTCTTGAGTCAGTGTGTTTTAGGTTTGGCCCATTTTTCAAGCCTCAAAACTTGATAGAATGGGCCAGGAATGTAGTAGACCGCTTGCCTAATGTGTGCAAGGCCGTGAGTTCAATCTGTATGAGTGAAAAACAACAGCAGGGAGACTGAGGCCGGAGGATTGTTTGAGGCCAGCCAGGGCTAGACCCTGTCTCAAAAAACCCAAATCAGAAACAAGCCTCAAAAGAAGAAAACACCTCATAGACACGTCTTGGGACTGCTGCCTACCTCAGTGCTATCAGTCTCTGAATTCAAAGCTGGGTATCTGACAGTTCCTTCTCTCTTGCTGCGTATATCTATTCAGAAAACTTCATTATAGGTTGAATAGAAGTTCCAGTCAGATAAAATACAGAATTTTAAGACTTTTCTCCTCATCGACTTTGGAGGAAGATGTTCTAGGTATGTTTCTCCCCAAAGAACTCTTATCTTGAAATATATTTTTCCTTGCCCTGCAGTTATACTAATGTTGTGCTGTTTCTAGTTAGTGTTTTCAGATTTCGTGTGGGTATCCACAGCTCTCTTCTCTCTACCTGGCTCCTGCCAGTCTCTTCCATTTTAGGTTCTTCCTCTCAGGATGCGCTTTCTTGCCGTTTCATTGTGGGCCCCTCAGTGTCCGGCTTTGTGTCCCCTTTGGTCAGAGACTGTCGCGAGCCGCGACGTCAGGATCCTGCCAGCAGGTCCTAAACCTGAAAGGATGAGAACAGAGAGACGGGAGGCACCTTTCTTCTTCAGTTGCTTGCTTTATTACTGAACCTCTTCCTTTTATACTCTCCAGCTGCATGGGAGCGAGGGCTGCACGGAAGCGAGGGAGCGAGGGAGCGAGGGAGCGAGGGAGCGAGGG